TTCCTTCTTACATGAGCAAGGGGAGAGAGGGAAACGTCCAGCTGGGATGTGAGCGGAGGGGATGGATGGGCTGGGACACCTCGTAGGTCTGATGTATTTACTCAAGGTCCTCTACTCCCTTTGTCTCTTTGGTACCGATAAGCACAGAAGCCACGTCAATAAAAAAGCCTGAACGGCTCCTGCGCAGAATGCAGGGACATCCCTGGCCTGCGAGACAGGGGACCGGTCCTCAGGCAGCCGCAGGAGCCGGGAGGGGCTGAAGGGGGCAAAGCCCCCCACCGAAGCAGGCAGAGTTTCACCCTGCGCTCACGCATTAAGCTCTTCATTAAACCTGCGCCGCCTCCACCCCAAAGGCCCTCCCGGATAAACTCTGGCCGTATCGGTATTTCTCAGCGTAGCCCTGAGCAATTCAGCTCCGATAAGCAGGAGCCCAACCCAGCTGGTAGGTGATTTTGGTTTCATTGAGCGTTTTTTCCACTCCTGGACCTTGACTCACGGGGAGGCGTGCGGTGCAGCTACACCAACACAACCCGCGCTCGGCACTCACCGTGTCCTGGCACGCGCGATGGGATGCTCATGCTGCTGCCTCTCTCCCTTGAGGACCTGCAGGGCTGCTCCTTCCCCGCTACATTGGCTCTACCTGTGGGAATAAAACAGTTTTGAGACCTTCACAGCACTCTCAAATCAGGGTGGAGCTAGGCAAGGGGTTCAAAGAGCTCTTGGAGCACAATTCAGTAATCGTTATTTCTTTGGCAAATTGCTCTAAAGACATGCAGCAGAGCGGTGCTCTGATCTCGTAGGAAGACTTGAATCCAACAACTCCACATGCAGACAAACTGAGAATTTTCATTTTAATCCCCCACTTCCACCCTTTTTTCCTCCCTCAAGCTCTCAGCAATGCCGTCAACAGGGAGACAAGTGGTCCTCCCTTTTTCCTAGCCCGTCCCCTGCACTCGCTGCCAGGCAGCTGGTGTCCAGCCAAGTTGGCGGAGAGTGCACGAGGGTGGATTTTCTCCTTTTAGGGAAAAAGTGGGGGAAAGGAGAAAGTTTCTTCCATTTACTGCAGGAAGCAGCAGCAAACGCTGCCCAGAAGTGTCCTCATCACCTGCTGCTGATCACGGCACCTCCTCTTCCCCTTTCCACGGCCGGTCAGGCAGCAGCACCCCACGCAGGCTGCTCTCGCCGTGGGGGAACAGAAGCGGCACCGCCGGGCTCTCTCTTTTCCAGTCTCTCCCAGTCTCTGCTGCTCAGAGGAGACGGGCTGCGCTGGGATCCGGGCTGCATCCTCCTCAGAGCCTCCCTGTGGGTGAAAGAAGAAATACAACAGGAGAGATGCACACGTGAGCTCTGTTAAAGGCAGTTTTAAACTCTGTCTTAAGGTCAGGTCCTAAATAACCCCGCTCACTACCGCGCCCACGAGGGACCGAGATGGTCAAGAGGAAAGGGGGTGCCAGTACAGGGTGATCGTGAAGCAGACTGGAAACTTCTCACATCTGCTCTCGGCTGAAACCTGTCTGGGCTCCTTCCAGCCGCAGGGCGAGTTGGCCATGCGAGGGCCAAGTTTGCCTGTGCAAATCAAGCACACAAAGCTTTGAAGACAAACCATTCGGCTCAAAGAGTGCTGTTCTTGTGAAAACCTTTGTTTTTTTTTTTTTTTCTTTTGCACAAAGAGGAACTCTCCTGCACCGATGCTGCCAGATTTCAAAGGAGACCATGAAAAGAACACACACCAAAAAAAGAGGTGAAAACTCCTTATTTCTTTTTCTTAAATCCGTTTATTGACTTCACCACACAGAAGAAAAAAAAAAAAAAAGTACAAAGAAATATAAAAATTCTGATCCTTCAAAGCAAGTTGCATTTCACTGCAGCAGAAAACAAACCATTTGCTGATTCAAACCGGCAAGGCAGCTGGCCTAAAAGTAGTAACATTTGGCAAAAACCCTACGTACTGACAGATACCATCCATTCAGAAACGTGTTGTGTCCAAAGGGAAACGGTTACGCGCACCTTGACCCGTTTGAAACACATTGCATAAATTTAAATACCATAAAAATCAACAAACCCGGAGTCATTCCCGCAAGTTTCACGCGGCTCGGACAATTACAGCGATTGTTGCCAGAAACACGCCGCCCTCGGGAGCTGCTGGGCACGAGGAGATTTGGGGGGGACCCCCCGATTTAGCCTGGCGTCAGCTCTGCCTCTCCCCAAACCCTGCCCTTCCCAGGCACCGGGCATTTCTGTTCTGCCAACGGCTCTTGCCGAGATGAGACACCTCCTCGTTAACCTGACGAACGAGCTCGCGCTCGGCCCAACCTGACGATCCAGATGTTTGAGGTAGAGGGTACTGCTCTCCAAAGAGCTCCCTCCTCGCTTCGGCTGGCTGCTGGTAACGGGGGTGGGATTTCCAACGCCACTTGGAACGACAGAGGACTGAAAGGCTTTTGAAAAAGCTCGCGGGACAGAAAAGCAAGCAGACGGTGGAAAAAAACCCCTTTGTAAATTATTTTTCAATTTAAAAAAAAAAAAAAAAAAAAAAGACAAAGCAGGGCACACACTCTAAAAATTCAGGAATGAGCAGCTCAGAAGCACATGGTATTTCACATGTTGGAATATGTTTTTTTCCCCTGCTGTCATTAGACAAAAGCCACCACCTCCCACCCCACATCCTGTCCATAAATCAGCCGCGCAACAGCGAGCCTCAGACTTATCCTACGGGATCTCTGAAACAGTGGAGTCTTGTTGCAGGAGTTCCCACCCTTTTCAGAAGGCACATTTCCCGCAATGTTCCCAGCCTTGTTTTCCTTTCTCTTCCCTCCACCTCACACTCCCGTTCTCCAAAATAGCTTCTGCAAGTACTTTCAGCATCAGAAAAGTTTACTACGGAAACCTTGAAAGCTATTTTAAAGCCAAGAGGGACTTTCTCTGCTCTTTGTGCTTGCTAACAGCCAGCCAAAAAAAAAAAAAAAATTTTTCTTTTAAGAGAGGGTCAAGCCCCTTCTCCCCTCTTACATGGGGAACAACTAGGAAAAAAAAATATACAGCTGTAGCTTTCATGTCCAGACAAGGAAACATCTTTGCCCTTGTCAAACGTGACTATCTTTAGCAGCCACAGGGCAGATTACCAATTGTTCACAACCTCGGGAAGGCCGGAAAAAGGCCGGCCTCATCCCACAAGTCACTTTCGCAGCCAGCTGGAGGGAAGTTAACCCGACCGGGCTTCTTCCTGTGCAGTCAGTCGGCAAGTGCACGGAGAGCGTGACTCACGTATGGCTGGTGCGAGCTTTCGGCGTAGGCGGGTACCCGTGTGAGGAGCTCTAAATGCCTCATACCAATTTTTTTTCTGCCCACATTGGAAAAAACAAAAGCATGAGCCAGGCAGGCACTTCATGCCCTCTTCAGAAATATCCCGTCTCAAACAAACATCTTTGGAGTAGAACTACAAAAAAAAAAAAAAAACCAAACCACAACCTCACAGCTCTAACTCGTGACTCAATGTGTTTTGCAGCCTTAAATATAAACTAGGGCCTGGGACATAATGGTTAAGTGCTCCACAGTAATACCGAAGTGACCAGCTCAGTGACAAGCAGCTTGTTATGTGTACATTCAACCACACAAAACTCCTCAAAGCCGGGGCTGGCAGAGCCGTGGCA